CGCCGGCACACCAAAAGCCGAGGGGGGGGGGGGGGGGGGCTCGGAAATCCACCAGGACTCTCAGCATCCTTTTGGCTGCTAAATATTTAACACCGCTCGGTGCTGGGCCAGAGTCTCGTTTCACTCCCCGGACATGGGCCCATTTTTCTCCCCACTTGCAGTTGGAACAACACCAAACCTCTTGACTCAGAGATCCAGTTGTTCATGCACATGGACCAGTGCACTGTGAACAGAAAAAGGAGTTTTCATGGGTTTTTGTGTTTAATTAACGCTATGGCTTGTTTCTTTCCGGCTGCTTCTGCTGCTGGTGACACGTGTCCTTTATATCTCAGGTGTTATCACGTCATGTTGTTTCATTTCACGTTTTCTCATCTCAATTAATTAATTAATTTATTTTTTTTTTGGCACGGCCGTCTATTTACACAAAACCAGAGGTGGAAAGTAACTAAGTACATTTACTCAAGTACTTACAGGCAGTGTAAGTCTGATTGGCCGGAGAGATAATTTCACATGTTTATTAGAGCTGGACCACCAGTATAGATACCGCATGCACCGTTAACACTGCAAATCCCAGAATGCTTTGCTAGGGTGTTGGCGCGTCAATCAAGACCAGCAAGCACCTTCTGTTGACATTCATTAGCAACCTCATGCTACCAGTCACCTCGGGTAAATTTAATCCACCTTTCCCAAAAAATGGCCAAACGAATGATGGAAAACAGGAGCTTTCAAGATAAATGGGAGGAAGATGATCTGTTCATTAATGTGAAGGACAGACCTGTTTGTCTTGTGTGTGGAGCCAACGTGGCTGTAACAGACACTATGAAGTGAAACACAGACAAGTACAAGGACCTGGACATGAAGCAGAAGGTCCAGAAGGTGGAGGAGATGAAAAGAGGAAATTTGAGAGAAATTATTTTTTGGTTGTTTTGTTGTTGGCCTGTGAAAAAGGGTTTAGACTGAAAATGAACTCAAAAGGCTACAGATGGAGAGAGGCATAGGAATTTATTTTATTAAGTTTTATTTATATAACTAATGCCACTGATGTTTTTTTTATTTGAAATTTGATTTCTCATGTGTTTATAATATTAAGCTTTGCTTGTTCCAAATTCAGTGTTTAAGCAACTCAAGTTTGTTTCCATATGAAAAAGTTTATCATTATATCTGGAGAGACGGGAAAACATGCTCAATTTTATTCAATATTTCAGTAAATATAGAGTCTGGCCCACAACTTTGTCCCACCGTGTATTTGAGTTTGACCCCCCCGCTGCAGAGAATTAACCATGTGACAGTTGACTTGTTGGCTGCTGGCGGTGCAGGTCTGTGCCCCGCCTCAGTTCTCCCTGACCTCAGCTCAGCCTTTGACATCGTGTGCCTCAGTGTTCTAATTAGCTGTCTGAACATTCATATTCATGTCAGTGCTGTGACTCTGGATTAGTTCATCTCATTTCTGTCTTCATGCTTTTAGATGCCTCCTCCTCTCAGGCCTCCTCTTTCTGTTGGGACCCCATTTATTCACTGGTCAAGGGACAAATCATGTTTCCTGATGGCACCAGTGTGTCATTTCCTTCCTCTCCTGCCTCTGAAATTTACAACTCCACAGTTTTCCTGTTTAATGACTGTGGTTCCACGCCGTGGCCTGAGCGCTAGCAGCACTAGCAGTCTCAGTCAAGTCTGGTTGTCTCATCTAATCATGTTTAAAAGGTTTCTTTGACCTCAGTGTCGTTCATGACCGAGTTGTCATCTGACAACCGGGTGACTAAAAGTATCTGTCTGAGGTATCTCACCACAATCGGGTTATTGCTTTCATCTGCAGATTGAGAAAAGGTCCTCGACGCGCATCTCCTCCAGTCTGGACTAATGTGATGCTCTTTATTCTGGCAGAACATCCAGAGACGACCGCGGATCCAAGACGCTGCTGCCAGGCTCAGAGAGAAGCGGCCACATCACACCAGACCTCGCTGCTCTTCACCAGTCGCCTGTGAGTGACCAGTAAACATTTCAGTTTCATGTTGTGGTCTTATGTCATGTCCAGTCCTTCTCATTTCACATCCTGTCAGTGTCGCCTCATCTCCTGTTGTCTTACTTTTTTACTTCCTCTTCATGTTGTCCTTTTCATGTCATCTCATGACATTTTGTTAGTGTCGTACGCTCTCGTGAAACCTCATGGCGTGTTGTCTCAGCTCAGATCGTCGTGAGACCTTCTCATGGCGTGTTGTCTCAGCTCAGATCTTTCTTGCCTTATTTTTTCTGACGTCCTCTTCTGTCTTTTAATCTTGTTCTGGTGTTTGCTTCCATCCTCTTCTCTCTGCCTCATGCATCTTTTCCCATCGAAATGTCTTGTGATCATATCATGTCAGTTTACCTTGTGCATATCACATTATCGAGCCTCACGTCTCATCTCATGCCATCCTATTTGCTTCTTTCTCACTCGGCTGCGGACCATGTGCGTCCTGACTTAGCTCCATGTCAGCTCGTCTCTCTGGGTTTTCTGTCTTATATCATTCTCAAATCCAGACTACAGTACATAATCAGATCTGTATCCCCTCAAAGGTCATTGGTCTGGTGCCCTCTTTCCAAGCAGCTCATATTACACACGTGCTCAGACTGGCCTCGAGGATCTCCGCTGGCTGCTTGTGTCCTTAACTGCTACCTACCAGACTTCGTCCTCCAATAAGCAGTTTAAAGCCTAACAAACTCTTTGGTGCATCAGTCCATGCTGCCGTTAATCAAGCCAGGGCGTGAGATCTGTTTCCAGAGAAGAGACTTTATTGTTCCTATTGTAACTGTTGTCATTGTCTCTGCTTTTTATCTGAACATAAAGTGTCTCCATTTCAATAAGGAGAAGAAGGAAGTGATGTAAATCTGAATGTTTTGTCTTGAGCCAGTGCAGCTGTGTCCACAGGTTGAAGGTGACGCTCTGTAGTAAAATTAAAAGTCACATCAGTAAATTTGTTTAACTATCTCATTATGCCTTGATATTTCTTCTTTTGCAAATTCTTTGGGAAACTTTGTCCTGAGAGTGAGCGGAAGGAGATAATGTGATGCATCCTCTCAAGAGCAAGTGTGATGGTGCAGCTGCAAGAGGAGTGTGATCATCACAGAAGTGTTGGGGTTCATCCTCTGCTGAGCACCCACACAAATGTCATAGCAGTGGGAGCATTTACATTTAACGCTGTCATAACGGTTCATCAGTGAGAACAGGTAACAACACTTTAATAAGTCTTCCTGTGGATATCGGGACACAGTGTTGCAGATAAGTTGTTCACAGACAGAGAAATAGTTTGAGAGTGAGGAGGTCACCAACAGCTGCTTTGGCCAGTTGTTGTCAACTGGTTGAAGACGTTTTGAGGCAAAACCACTGTGACAGTGTAGCTCTTTGTTTTATTCCTGCTTTCCTGTGTTGTTGTTTCTTCTCAGCTCACCTTGGCCTCCACACAGGTGACATCCCGATACGGTGCCAATGCAATGAAAAGCCCATGTGATGGAAATTAAAATTTGTCTCTCTCTCTTTATTTCTTAAGGGAGCAGCGTTATGACACTGCCTCCTCTGGCTCTAATACGCCTCTGATGTTATGTCGTGTCTCTGTCGGCCGTTCCTGAGGTTTTTATTTAATGGTGACCTGTGTTGATGTGTGATTTGCTGCAACCGCTGGTGTGTATCCAAGACTAAGAGGGGAGTGATTAACTAAAAGCTTAGAAAATTACTGTGCCAAAATCAGGCCTGTTTGAGCTGTAATGC